CCCCATAGAAAATCTTTGGAGGGAGTTGAAAGTCTGTGTTGCCCAGCGACAGCCCCAAAACATCACTGCTCTAGAGGAGATCTGCATGGAGGAATGGGCCAAAATACCAGCAACAGTGTGTGAAAACCTTGTGAAGACTTACAGAAAACGTTTGACCTCTGTCATTGCCAATAAAGGGTATATAACAAAGTATTGAGATGAACTTTTGTTATTGACCAAATACTTATTTTCCACCATAATTTGCAAATAAAGTCTTTAAAAATCAGACAGTGATTTTCTGGATTTTTTTTTCTCATTTCGTCTCTCATAGTTGAGGTATACCTAGGATGAAAATTACAGGCCTTTCTCATCTTTTTAAGTGGGAGAACTTGCACAATTGGTGGCTGACTAAATACTTTTTTGCCCCACTGTATTATGGGTCTCAGTATATACAAATATATAAAAACATTTCTATGATGTGTTTTGCTCAAACTACCAAACAGATCACGCATTTTAGACATCTCTCTATTCCAGCCCTGTTAGAGAAATGCTGATTTTTGGTCCTTAGCTTGAAAAAAAAGGGGGAGCTAATGCTCAGAATTCTACCGGCAGATACAGCTAAATGCTGCCGTGATTAAACGCCATCATGTTCCAAACCACACCAAGGATTATTTCTGAAACAGTATGGAGCTCAAATGCTTTTTCTCTTGCCGGTTTACCACAAGGTGAGTTCCTTTTGTTATTTCCTGCTTTTTACACATACTCTCCCCAGTACAGGTTAGCTCTGAGTGTTAGCGATGCTTGCTAATGTAAACTAAGACCATATTACATCCAAAACACGTCGCGCATTGTTTCTGATAGTGCCGTCGGTGTGAAGCCAGCCCACATTTCCGCTATTACGTAAATCTGGATCAGCTCCGTTGTACCCCCGTTTTTAGAAATTTGTGGGTACGGAGTAAAAAGAGAGAGTGTTTTGTTATCTGACACTTTGTGAGTACCCTGACACACCGGACACACATATTTATGGATAAAAGACATAAAAAAAAGTGCATTTCGCATGATAGGTCCCCTTTAAAATCAAGGCTTTTTGTTAACAAATTCAAGGTTATATGAGGTTTCGAGGGGTTAAGTACTCCTTTAACAAACTGTTCTACATTTGTTTCATCAAAGCCTGGTTTAAATAGACCCAGGTCTCAACACACACAGTCTCTGTCTCAGTGTCTGGCTGACCTGACGGAGCCGTCGGGGCCACAGGGCACGTGCAGTGTGATGGGGATGGGGATGGCGCTCTCGGCCCGCAGGGTGGCCATGGCCCTCTGCGCCTCGGCCTCGTTGCGGGGGGCTTTGACCCAGGTGCAGCCAAGGTAAGACAGCTTGTTGAACTGAACACTGTCCTCCTCTAGCACTGTGGGGGTGGATGGTGCTGGACATGTTTCTGTAGACAGAAAGATTTAGGTTGCGTTATTACTTGTTTTTTCTTGAGATCTCTGTTCTTATTTTAAGCAAAACAGATGTTTGCTTCTCTATTTTCTGGCAAACTTTTAACCAAATTTGTATCAAGATAATACAACAGTTGTGTATCATCAGGGTAGACAATAATATTTCACATTTGTCTGGTGTGCTGTTAAACCATCATGAGATGAGATTTTCCACATCCTGTAGCTCTACAGAACGCTGCATTTTCAGGTGTGAAACAAAACCACAAAAACCCAACTGAGAAGAAGTGAATATAAGCAGTACGTGAGAGAGACCTTCTACGGAAGTTTTGGAGTCTTCTTTGAAATTAATTTGACCTGGTACTCACACTTTCTTTAAACAGGAAGTAGAACAATGAGAGCAGCAGCTGGACTTCCACTGCTGACTGGCTATTATTCTACACAATGCTAACCATTTCCTCTTAGTGTACTCAGCAGTAGTGAAGCGCACAACCACTTTTACAGTATGTGACTGCAAGTACACAAATACGATGTGTAGTCCCAATGTTTATTTTTTTTATTTAACCTTTATTTCACCAGATAAAAAAGCATTGAGATAAAATCTCATTTACAATGCTGACCTGGCCAAGAAGGCAGAACACTACACATAACACAACATATAAAATACAGAGAACATAACTAAGAAAACAAAAGACAAAAAGCAGTCACTACATTGTGAACATTAGGACAGTAACTAAGGTACACTACTTATTACTGCAAGAGCAGGTGGTGGTAAGGACTTCAGACAACTTCAATTTAAAAACATGCTATTGAGACAAGTGCCCTCAGTTTGAGGTTTGATTGAAGGTCATTCCAAGACCAAGGACCAAAATAAAAAAAGACTCCTTTTTCCAGCCTCAGTCAGCAAGCAGGTACCTGGAACCGTATCCAGGCACTGGATGTGAGGTTGTAAGAGTCACAAACTGGGGCAAATCTGGCACATATGTACAGTGGGAGCTTACCTAAAATGGCTTTATACATTAATCAAAACCAATGCTGCATCCAACGCATAGTAAGTGAGGACCATCCAGATAGTCAGTTTGCAATGATGAGTCCTATAGGGTGCATTGGATATATATATATCGCAGTGCAGCATGGTCGAGTGGGTCAAGTTTGGCCAAAACAGTGGGACAGGCAAATCTAATGTGTTTTTATTTATTGTTTTAATTACAATTACAATTTATCTGCTGAATTGAAAAATATATATCTTTAACTCTGGTAGTGCTTATGCCTTGCACCTGCAAAAAAAAAAAAATGTGCGGTATATTGTTGACCATGTCATGTTGATTTTGCCTTCTTGTTTGTAGAGCCGTCAGGGCCAACCTGTCCTTGCTGATATACAGAACATTTAAGCCAATGTCAGAGGGTTCAGATATCAGCCTTTGCTAATCTGCTATATTTTCCTATATAAATGCATAGCTTGGATTTCAACATTTGTGCACATTGTTATTTCCACTTAAATGTCAGTGCAAATTAATTATAATTACGTATACTTCTCTAAAACAAAAAAAGCGCATATATCCATAATAACTTAGACTGACGACAATAAAAAAACAACAGTTTTAGTTTTTTGGTTTCGTTTTTAAATGAACAAATGGATTTGGGAAATGTTCAGCCATATCGTGAATACAAGTAAGACAAGACTCAATCTGCTGCTTTTGACGGTGATAGCTCACAGAAGAAAAGGACATGAACTAGATAATAACGTTACAGTTTATATTCCCATTGAGATGCCTGAGCAAGAATAGTTGACTGACAGATTGTAATTACCTGTGAGTAGACACACTGATCGTAAATAGACCTCTACCTGCAGGTTGGGGCTCCAGGACTTGGCTCTCTGGGTCCCTGTGCTTCTCCATCTTTTCCACATTGCTCTTTTCCACCTTCACCTCATCATCATCGTCATCCAACACATCCTCCATAGCTTTCTCGAGCTGCTCACTCCCATTCCAAGACATCTAAGAGAGAGAGTGGGAGAGAAAAATTAAGCTGGGGATGAGAAAAGGATGGATTAAACCTGGTGGAGATAAGGACACAGTGGAGCTTCCTGGACTGAGTCAGCACATTGGAAAAATCTTGTCAATGACCTTGTTTTCATTGGCTTTTAGCATGTTTTCATGGGCTGTTTTACCACCACGCTGCACCTTTTACAACCCTTTACAGCTGCAAGTCTGACCAGCGTGTTGTATGAGGGATGAATATGACATATTGTTCTGACCTTGAGTCTTGGTTTGCCCTCGGAGCCTTGTGGTGACCCGGCGACACCGGGCTGTACCAGAACAAACTCCTCGCTGGTGACGGTGGCCACGGACTCTGTGGAGCTGCTGACTTTTCCAAGAGAGGACCGGTCATCCATGGCTGGCTGGTTTACTCCGGGTCAGCTGGGGAGACCAGAGGTAAAGCTCTCCCCTTCCCTCTCCTGTCCACCCAGCTCTGAGGGAATACACACAGATTGCATTAGACAATTTAGGAGGTGTTTTCTTGGTATTTATGCTGAAATAAAATAAAATGCTTTAGCAACAAGTGGATAAGAGTTACGCCAATGTTATCCATGAAACTTACACAATAATAGAGTTACAAGATCTCTACACACACACACACAAAGTGGGCATGTCCACTTAGGAGCTATTCAACTAATAGAACAGGATTAATTAGATCACATGTACTGTGTGCAATGTTGTCACGGTGATGTGCAATGCCAAACCACAACACACCCATCCAGTACTCAACCAGAAAGGCACTACCTGAACAACTCCCTGGTTTTGTGGGCTCTACTTTAAGGTTATGAGTCCGAGGCAAAGTTGTTTAAGGTCCCATGTCATGCTTTTCCGGTTATTACACGTCCCCTTTTGTGTTATGAAGGTTGTTTTTTCACACACACACACACACACACACACACACACACACACACACACACACACACACACACACACACACACACACACACACACACACACACACA